ATGTTTAGGTATCTTCATATACTTAAACAACTTAGGACGTGATTTAAACGTATGTTTGTCGAATGTCTTTTATCAATTAAACACATTTGCGAGACATTTTATTGACATGCATTCTATATAGCGGAAGTACACAGCCACACAAAATGCTAACGACCAGCAAGCATATCAGATTCGTTCGACGATACACATTGCGAAGGTCACACAAAAGGTATAACTAGACGTATTGTCTTACTTGAATTCGTTACAGTTTGATTATTTGCATTCCTATTATACGTTTCACTTGTTCATGTTATAGGCACATAGTTTATATTAACAAATTATAAGTGAAATATTTTATTTAAATAAACCCTATTTTGGATGAACGATTGATTTGATTGATTTATAGTTGAAATTTTTCCGGAGAAACACTAGTATTTGAACAATTAGCTAATTGATTACCCATCATATGTAGTACGAAGAGCCATAGAAACAAGAAAAACAAACAAATATGGAGCCACCTTTTTCGATGCTAAATGAAACTATTATTAACGGGTTTATCGCGTTTATTTTGAATTCAATTCAATTCTCTACGTTTCGAAACCTTTGTATTCATGACGGACGGAGTGAACGGTTGGAGGTCTGTATGTCATATGCTCGGTCTACCGCCAGTTTTTTAATTATTAATTTGTGTGAGATCTACGTTTGGGCTAAGATTTCATTTTATTAATGGTACGATACCGATGGTAGCACCGGTTTTTCGGGTTCCGTACCCAAAGGGTAATAATCCTAGACCCTATTACTAAGACTTCGCTGTCTGTCTGTCTATCTATCTGTCTGTCCATCTGTCACCAAGCTGTATTTCATGAGCCGTGATAGTTAGAAAGTTGAAATTTTTTACAGGTGATGTATTTCTGTTGCCGTCTATATTTGTTGGTATTGGTACCTAGCTATACCAACAAATACTAAAAAACAGAATAAAAAGAATGTTTCTGTGGGGCTCCCATACAATATACGTGATATTTTCGCCGTTTTTATAGATAAAGATACGGAATCCTTCGTGGGCGAGTCCCACACGAACTTGGTCGGTTTTTTGCATGTTATAAGAAATGGCGCACTTTGCCTCGTTTCGAATAAAACGCCCATGCACAACTCTCATATTAATAAGCGGCGATTTGCGAATTCCTTTTGCATCCCATACACCCAATCGCGCGTCAGCCCCCTTGGACGAGGTGACGGGCTGCCACCGGTTGAAACCGGTTTCAGGCGGAGTCGCGGGCTGCGTCTAGTATCGCCAGCAGGGCTAGCTCTGCTTATTGATGTCACCCCGGATTCTCAAGGTCGTACGGACTGTGAGCGACGCGAAGATATCGCACAATGCCCAGATTTGCATGCATTGAAAATCGTAGCTAAGTAAGGACGGTAAGGTTTCATTTCAATATTAATGACGTTTTGAATAGCGTATATTTAGGTTGCAGATATTGAAATGTTTTACATAGTGTTCGAATTATCGTTGTAAAACGATATTCGAAATCCCAGAAAGGATATAACAATAGATGCCCCAAGCATCGCTTCGAATGCTAAAAACAATGTAGATAAAAGACGTTAAGATTTTCGTCAGTGTGGCAATAAGCCGTTTAGCTTAGTTGCTAAAGCGTCAGGCCGCGAATGCCGATGACGTGGGTTCGATTGCCATAGGTTGCAGATGTTCATGGGCGACGGTGATCACTTTCCACCAGGTGAGTAATGTTCCAATTGTAATGACACAACGTGAAATTATAGTCGACAACTCGTTTGGCAACTTTCAAATGTTGTTAATGCTTTTGTAACAAAGAAATTACTTCCATTGAAAGTAAATTGTCTTTATTACTGGGGTATGATGAAGCATTCCATTGGCGCAACTAAGTCCAGCGTCAATTTAGAATTTTCTAAAAAAAATCCGTTAAATTAAGTAAGATTTACAATGACTGACTGCGACTTTGTCCTTGCTTAAAACGGTATGATAAAACGAATTTTGATGTCTTAATTTGACTAACTGTAAAGTTGTGATCGTAGAATCGAACTCTACAGAGGTCATAAATGTTATAAAATATTACGGAATGAAGATCGGGATAATACGGGTGATTTGGATACCTATCCAAATCACCCGTATTATAGTTTTACGCGTTTGTATAGAGTATATAGTGCTTCATGGAGGCTTAACTACAAAAGTACTGTAAAGTTGTTTGACGTGTGTACGCGTAATGGTTGTCAATTTTTAAAATTGAATGACACGTGAGTGATTTTCCGTTTTTTATCTACCGTTTTCCTTATATCAACTTTAGCAATAAATAGTTGTACGTATTATTGCAATATAGAAACGAACAAGATTATTTTTATAACAGCTTTTTCACCGCGGACCTAACGGCCGGTTTGGTACATAAATTATGCCTACACCACATCACTAAAAGAAAAGGCGTAATGAAATGTTTTTATCATATCGATACTTTTATATCCACAGTTAACGCCGTAAAATATTGCGACACAGCCCTAAGAGAGAATTAATTTCCAGTTTCAAGGATTCATCTTTATTTATATTGAACGACACACGCTAACGTTTTGAATTAATGTACTATTGCGGTGAACAGTTTGATGGAATTAATTGATCTGTATGTGCATATAGAATTGTGAAACAATTGTACAATTAAAAAGAATAAAATGCGGCCGTTTAAAACAATATGCAGCGCTTAAACGAATCGTTGGACAATCATAGAAACGTTTGGAATACAAACATTCTGACCGGATCATCTTAATTCAGAACAGTGCTAGGTATATTAAAAATGATTTTGCTGCACCACGTAATATACTCATATAATATGGCTAGTAGAAAGTACAAAGCTGCAAGTTTATTTGGAGTTTTACGGAGCGAGTTTTGTCGAGTTTTGTTGTTTGTTTTTTATTTTTTTTTATGTGAAAAGTTGCCAAACGAGCAGACGGTTCACCTGATGGTAAGTGAATACCGCCGCCCATTGACATTCGCAACATTTTAATCAAGTTAGCCCCGGCTACCTCACTCACCAGACGAAACGTATAACACTTCCACTTGACGCCGGTTTTCTGTGAGGTCGTGGTGTCGAGGGTACTTACCCGGACGGACCTGCCCATTCGTGCAACAGCGAAAACTGCGTGGCCCTACCACAGTTGTTTGTACGATGCAAGATATGAAAGATTGTGTTATGTGAACCTTTAGTTATCGTTAGTTTTTCTGTGGTAGGGCCACGAAGCGTCTTCTGGTATTGCATTAATAGGCAGACTCGTCCAGGGAAGTACCACAACCTGGCAGAAGATCGGCACGACGTGGAAGTATCATACTATTGGTGGTTAACCCTTTATACACTCTATAAGTTGTCAAAGCGGTTCCAGAGAATCATCTAAAATCCGGTGAATCGCTTGTATGAAATATCACGTTATCTTACATAGGTACATCCTTTTTAAGGTTCCGTACCCAAAGCGGGAACGGGAACGGGGAAGTAAAACGGGACCGTATTACTAAGACTCGGCTGAAGCTCTGTCTGTCCGTCTGTCACCAGGCTGTATCTCATGCACCGTGATAGTTAGACAGTTGAAATTTTCACATAATATAATGTATTTCTGTTGCCGCCACAAATACTAAATAAAAACAGAATAAGAAAATGTTTCAGTGAGCCTCCCATACAACAGACGTGCCGTTTTTATAGATGTGCCGTCTTGCACTTGGCAAGTTTTTTTTGTTTCAAGCCTCAGTACATTTGAATTACAATCTTGCGTGGAAGGCCAGATTGTGATAATATCAAATTTTACGTGTTCCGTCGGCATATATACGACGCCCTTCTCGCCAGTCTTGACCCCAAGCCAGCGGTTAAGTTTACTTTTGGTTTAATCCTTTACAGACTGTCAGCGATTCAATGATTTATGCGCAGTTTAACTAATAAATAGATAAAATCATTCAATTAATGCCAAGTTGAAATATAATGATTTTTATGTAATTTTCAAAATAATATCTACGGATTGTATTCTATATAGATAACTAGCGACCCACCCCGGCTTCGCACGGGTGCAATGTATTATACATATAAACCTTCCACTTGAATCACTCTATCTAATAAAAAAAACCGCATCAAGGTTGCGTAGTTTTAAAAATCTAAGCATATTCATAGGGACAGACAGACAGCGAGACGACTTTCTTTTATACTATGTATTGATGAATTATAGTAATAGTAAGTAAATGCGGACGGGTTAGTAAGGTGGGCCACAGTGATCTCGTTTTAACGCACTTTAGGTTTTTTGGTGACGCTAAAAACGCTTAGAGAGTAGTAAAATAGTGTAACAGCTTATATGTGTCCCACTGCTGGGAAAAGGCCTCCTCTGCCCGGATATTATTAGGGCATAGTCCACAGGCGGAATTTATATATCTTTGAAAAATTTTTTTTGTTAACATTCCGGAAATATGCAGGCTTCCACGCGATGTTTTCTATCACCGCTGAGCACGAGATAAGCCAGTGCTTAAAATTAACAATTTCATCGGTGTTGGTACCAGGATTTGAACTCTTCTAGTATATTGAATTAAAAGATTCTAAAAGATTCTGAGCTATTACACGTCCAAATAAAAATATGCTGCTTATGTAGCGATTAGCTTCGCGACGGCACGTATCATGCTACGTACAATCTGACATGGTCGAAAAATCCATTTGACAATGCCGTGTGGAATTAATTAAGCGAATAGGTAGTTTGCGATTAGGGACGTATAAGACTAAAACATTTCTCACGTCATTCATTCATTTATTTGTTTATAATCACGTTTCTTTTCATACCTTCTAAGTAGAAGTTGCACTCAGGTTATGGGATCTGAGCTAAGTAACGTTTCGTACTAAGTTCACGAGTTCAAAGCTCACAAAATATTGAAACGACTTAAGCAAATTTCATACGGGAAGTTTGATAAAAAGGTTCGCGTATACCGACATCGCGAGTGTAAATATATACGATTGGTATTGACAAAGTGAACATACCTGTCCGGGTGCTGCCTCGTCTGCGCTAGCCGCTGTATGAGCCACGCCTGAGGCAGGGGCGGCGGCACCAGCCCGCTGCCCAGCGCCGCCAGCGCCGCCAGCATCTGCTGGAACTGCACACACCAATCCGTGTACGCCTGCTGCCGTAATGTTTGTGTAAACGTCTATGTTAACAGCGCGTAACAGTTTACAACGGGTAACAGTTGACAACGGGTAATTTTTGACAACGGGTAATTTTTGACAACGGGTAATTATCGATAGCAGGTAATAGTTGACAACGGGTAACAAACAGTTGACAACGGTTAAAAGCCGACAACGGATGACAGTTAGTTTGCAAACGTGGAGCCTCAAGATTTAATTCAGTGAAGCGGGAACTCTCGCTTTTGCCGCGTGTTTGTGCTTCCCTGTCCCCGCTGCTATTAAAAGCTTACGAGGAAAATTAAAAGGTTCCAGGAAATGCGTCGTTTTCACCGGCTGCGTGGACCGAAGCGGCGCTTAGAGTAATAACGCTCGACAACATCTTTGACAAATACGTTCACATTATAATAATTTTTAAAGCTGTTTATTTTTGAACACATACACATATATAATTTAAAAATATAACCATTTTTTGAAACATCTGCTATTTACAATTATTTTATGTTTTCCAATAACTAAATCGCAAAATTTAATTATGAAAAAACATTTAAATTTACGGAGGCAGGTAGTTTTCGACAGGGACAAGCACGCTAGCCGTTAGTCTAAGGCGCTATCAATTATGCAAATAGATAAAATTCGTAAAAGAATGTATTATATTTCATAATCTTTAAATATTCATCTTCATAAATCTTTTATACTAATAAATGGAGAGCCGGTGTTGTTGTTCGGTTTTACTGTGAAAACTTCTGAACCGATCGGAATAATACTTATACATTAAGATGAAGCGTGTTCGGAGAAGATTTTACAGTATTTTACTGATTACTTATCCGAAACTTCAATTTTTTTACTTAAACAATATCGCATGACCCGCAATTTAGTGTACAAAGAAGCATTGTAGTAACCTTTTAAATTAATTATGTGATTATGAAAATTAATTATAGTTTGATTGGACTATAAAATTGTAGTTAAATTTTATAAATAGATGTATATTAAAAAAAAATATTAAATTTTTATTATATTCTACATTTCAATTTCTGACCAGCGCAGCGATGCGGGCGGGGGGCAACTAGTATTTATTATTTTACCTAATGCCAGTAACTCCTACTAGCGACCACGTGTTCACCACCGCGAATAACGAACCGAACACAGTTATATGCTCGAGTGGCCAATCGCAGCAGCGAGTTGGTACGAAGCGCGCGGGGCGAGGCAACTCTTTCAACCCTGGCTGACTCAAAAGTCACGCTAACGCCACTTTCTGATTCAACTCTTTTTCCCTTAGACACCGCCGGCGTACCCTCTGTTCGTACGTGTCATCGCACAAAGGAGGGTTAGAAATGCGACTGCCTAACTGTTTGCGCTAATGCTTTGTGCTCCGCCATATGTTTTGCGTAAATGGCGGCTGCTGGGAGGCGGCTCCCGTTGTGCTCGGTGCTTTGCGGGCCCGTAATTACCGCGCTTCGGGTATGGATAGGTTCTGATACATTAGGTTTACACACTGCGCAGTGTCGCCCCAACGCTTCGGTTACAGCGCGTTCAATGCAGTGTCTTTGTTGGTGTTAATGTACAATACGAAAAGGAGATTATGAAAGACAGCTGCGCGTAACGTTGCATAAACGGCCGGTTTCTATATTGTATGTACAGATAGATTTGGTTACTCGAGATAGAATTTGATTTATTGACGTAAGTATTACGAAACTAATGTCATATATCTATCGCTAGTAAAACGAATAGAAAATAGAAACGGGCCTTTAGTGACGTTACCGATTCATAGCAAAGTTCATCAACATAAAAATGTTTTTTCATGTTTGTCAACAACAACGTCGTCAACATTTTACATAAACAAACGTACACAAATGTGTCTGTTTTCAAATGATTAAGTAAATATTTCTTTTGGTGCATTCGAAAAGATATTACGTACAGCATAGCATTTTTCAGATCTATCTCATAATTAAAATATAACATTTTTATGTAGAGATTAGAGAGTAACTATTATTGGACTTTTTAGGCCAAGAATAGTTAATTTTAAGATTAAGTCCATTCTTGACCAGCTAAACTGAGGACATAAGACTCTCCGCAACTTGCTATCAATGGGTTATAAGCAACTGGGCAATGGTCTGGGAAGACTATGCTCTCCGCAACTTGCTATCAATGGGTTATAAGCACCTGGGCAATTTCCTGGGAAGACTAGGCTTCCCACAACTTGCTATCAATGGGTTATAAGCACCTGGGCAATTTCCTGGGTAGGCTAGGCTTCCCAAAACTTGCTATCAATGGGTTATAAGCACCTGGGCAATGGCCTGGGGTGTCTGCGCCTGCAGCTGCAGCTGCAGCATCTGTTGCAAGAGGGGCGGGGCGGCGGCGGGGCTCTTCGCGCCCGACACCGAGCTGCTGTCCGACTCCGACGCTGGACTCTGGAAACAAAGAGTCCTTATAGTGACCGGTATACCCACTGTGTGAAAAGTTAGCAAGCAAGCGGTTCACCGCCCACGGACATTTGTAACACCTGTAAGATTGCAGATGCGTTTTACCTTCTAGTAATGTGAGCACCGGCTACCTCATTCGCCAGACGAAACGGAAGTGTAACACTTCCACTTCACGCCGGCCCTCTGTGAGGTCGCGGTACTTACGCGGACGGACCTGCCCATCGTGCAACAGCCGAGGCTGCTGCGTGACCTTACCAGACGATGTAGGGTTGCTGACGCGTTGCTACGTTTTAATAAAATGGGCCCCGATTACTTCACGCAACAGGCGAAACGCTTAAGTATGAGAATCCACCTCAAGCGATGCTTCTTTGAGGCCATACTTCCCCATTAATGCAACAGGAAAGACTGCTGTGGCAACACCGCCATGCGTTACTGAATTTGTGTTTGCAAAATGATAAATGACGGGTTGCAGATACGTTGTCTACCATACAAAAAGTGCGCGTTGGTTACCTCACTCAACAGGACGATAGGTGAGTAGTGGACAGGGTTGCCATCTCTGTTCGCTCCGTCACGGCTAATGTAGGTGACTTTTGATTTAATTTTAAAGTTTATCTTAAGTATTCGATTTTGGAAGATCGCGTGTTCCCCTAGTGGATCTTTTAAAAGTGGAAACCACGTGAGACATCCATTAAAATTAGAGACCTCCCGAATTTGGTATTAAATTGTTAAGTCATTAATATTATAAAAACTGTTCCCGGATCCGGGTCTAAACGCTAGCTAATTGCTAGCAATTACGCGGCTATTGCGATCGATGCACCTCTAAATCTCTAAATAAACCAAAAACCAAGAAAGACAAAAAGATCTAAAAACTGTACAACAAAGGCAGAGAATTATCACAGTTTGGCAGAGAATAATTTATGTTATTGTACTTTATTACTGGATTAAGTAAATTAAAAATTAACTTAAAAGAATTGCTTGTATGCTTACTGCCCTTTAGATTCGTGTTTATTAGCTTTGTATACGACTTATCAAATGGCTGTATATTTTTCTTCTAATAAAAATATTTTTAGATTCCACATATCAAACATTCAAACTAGAAAGGTTATTCACGGAACATGGGTTCTAAATAAACTGACTCCTTAAATCTAGAGTGGAAGAATGTTATTTTTGTCTTGAAATATTTGTTCATAGCTTTACCAAAGCTACGCTGTTAAAAGATATATACATTACTTATATGTATATGTATATTAACGATCTCGGTAAAAATCTCGGCTGCTTAATGTTTTAAAACTTGTCATTCTATATTTGAATTAATCTTAGGCAAAAACCTGTATCGTATATTTTCAGTTTCAGTTATACTAAAATCGATTCTTATACTTTAAGAACAAGGTTTGTTTTGGAATAGTTAAGTTTGTTTTGGAATAAAGATTTTTGTTTACTGTTATTGTATATAGTTTAAGTATTATATATATTGTCTATAGTTTAAGTTATTTCATTTATACTGTTTGAAATGTTATGTTAATATTATAATCGAAACATTTATGAATCAACGATAGAATTTTAGTTTAGGCAAATTAAATCAAAACCAATTAAAATGTTTGTGTTTAGGCAAATTTTTTTAGGACACATTTTAGGACACATTTTTTACACAAGATTTTCCATTCCCAAACTAAGCAAAGCTTGTACTATGGGTCTAGTACCCATAGTACAAGCTTTTAAAACTGATAAATATACTCAAACATACTTTTCTTTTGTAAATAAATACATATTATACATATATAAACACCCAGACACTAGAAAAACACCATGTTCATCACACAATATTTTTCCAGTAGTGGGGATCGAACCCACACCCTCTGGCGCAGGAGGCAGGTACACTACCCACAACGCAATTCGGGTCGTCAAATTAAATCAAAACAATTAAAATGGAGGCGTCATAAATAAGGTACACGTACGAATTATGTCTCTTTTTCGCCGAGACTACATTCTAAGCCGTTTTTTTTTTTTTCAGAAATAAAATAAAATCTAATGCCGCAAAGAAACTAAATCAAACTCGAGATTTGCTTTCGAAAAATTTACAGGCCACCCATATGTGTGTGGATAAACGCGTCAATTATAAAAAAAATATACGTGCGTTTCCAAAGAAAGTAATGAAAAATGTGGCTCAACATTTTCAGGTGCGAGATATGAATGAAATAAAAAAAATCTTTGGCAACGAAATTTTCGAAAGCACTCAACCCAGTTTCGGTGTATAGTAACGGAGTGGTCGTGTACACTTTCCACGTAGAAGCGTGGTCGTAATTAGTGGGTCTGGTGTGCTGGAATAGACCCCATGTATCAAGGCATAGGGTACAATTTAATATGGTCGCATTCTACTTTTTGGCGGATTACTACATTGTCCGCTGCCCGTCTGTCCCTATGTATGTTTAGATCTTTAAAACTACGCAACGGATCTTGATACGGTTTTTTTTGCTAGATAGAGTGATTCAAGAGGAACGTTTATATGTATAAATACATTGCACCCGTGCGAAGCCGGGGCGGGTCGCTAGTATAGAATAATGTAGGAAATTGCTCCTTGTCTAATTAAGTGAGGTCATTTGAATAGTAAATAGACAAGCTTTAATGTCCACTTTTCTACGACTCAAGTCAATAGGAATTTTCCGATAGAGGTTTAAAGTTTTTTTTTTGAGTTTTGTTGTTTTGTTTTTTTTTTATGTGAAAAGTTGCCAAGCGAGCAGACGGTTCACCTTTACGGCTCACGTTTACATATTAAGTGAATACCGCCGCCTATGGACATCTGCTACACTCGAGGGTTGCAGATACGTTGACAACCTTTTGAAAATTGGGCTCCGGCCACCTCACTCACCAGACGAAACGCGAAAGTATTTGTCATACTTCGACTTTACGCTGGTCTTCTGTGAGGTCGTGGTACTTACCCGGACGGACATGCCCATTCGTGCAACAGCCGAGGCTGTTGCGTGGTTACCACACATAAAATTCTATCATAAGTTCATTAAATTGCTTGCAAAGAGTTCTATTAGGGAGTATTTTCGTATTAGAAATTTACACGAACAGAGAGACTCGCCAGTGGCTTCATCACTACGTGGTATAAAACAAAGTCGTCCTACTATCTGTCTGTCTGTATGATTAGATCTTTAAAACTACGCAACGGACGCGGTTTTTTTTACTAGATAGAGTGATTCAAGAGGAACGTTTATATGGTTACTTTTATTTTAGAATTTTTTTTTATTTGAAATTCCACGCGGACGAAGTCGCGCGCACAGCTAGTATATTAATAAAAGGATAGATTTAATTGTAGCCGATTCATTTGTCTTTATCATCGGAACTCCTTTGTCGACCTTGTGAATGACGCGTTAAAATTGCCGCCCTCAATGGCGGTACCAAACGCGCGACATGCCTGATAATTCAATTAACTGTATACAGTATATATTACTACTTATTATAACTACAGACTACTACTAAGGTATTAGCTTCGACGTCGGGGCCGTTGTTTTGCCGTTTTTATAGATGACGGAACCTTTCGTGTGCGAGTCCAACTTGCACTTGGTTTCTCTAGGTTATTATCTGACCAGCAGTTGTTATAGCTAGCTTAGAAACTAATATTAAGCAGCGAACACTTTTTGTTTTCAGAACAATGAAGTTTCGCTTTGGTTCGGGGAAATTCGTTAGACTATGGTTACAACATAATCAAGGTTATTCACGCGATGGTTCCGAGAATAATATCAGAAGTTGATCCTAATTTGAGCCTCCACTTTCTTACTTGGGCTTCACTAAATAATTTTTTTTAAAACATTGCCCTTACTTTAGGATAACAATATCCTGTGTTGTAATGACGTTTTACAAAGATAAACACGCAGACAAACAGCCAGATGCGAATCAACTATTTGTGGGTCACACAAATAGATGTCCCGTGTGGATCGAACCCACGACCCCAGACGCTGAAGCCAATACCTAGGCAACTGCGCCACGGAGTCGTCGGCAATTAGAAACAACTGAAGTTCTCGGATTATCAATTTCGATCACAAACATTTTACATGCTAATGTTGCCTGTGACATGGATCAAGTGAACCATACGCACTCTTTACGCATGAGCTTCTGCTTAAACCGCGATGACTCGACAGTGTATTGCAGGATCACTGATACACTCCTGCCACAATGGCCCATGAATTGTCGAAGCGATCCACTCGACGTCCACTCCAGTGAGGCCCGAAGAGCGGGAGCCCAGGATAGCTTGAGCAACGCACGTCTATTGATCATTTAATTGATATTAGAATCGATACACCAGGAGTTGTGAAACGACCCCAGTCATCTTCGCTTAAGTCGGCCTTCGGAATTTTATTAGACGCAGTTTTCCTGTTGCATTTGGAAGTTTTCCGTCTGTTTCGCAAATAAATTAGCGTCTTCGATGACGGGGAAAACGTTTTCAGTCGCTTACGTGATTTGCCTAATGGTCTCAGTTGTCCTTTTGTCGGTTCCTTATTAGCGATGAATCGTTCGCAAACATTATTCAATTTACCTAGGTAATATTGAAACGGATCGTTGAAAGTCAATGTCTTTAATTGCATATGATGGAGATTTTTCTTCTATTTCGTCTAGTATATAGTTTGGGGCTATCTTCCTGATTGCTCAAGAAAACTACGCAACATTTGAATTCAGAACCTCTTCTTTGATTTCATCACCTGATGATGATCACGTTTTAAAAGAAATTACACCACAATTATTAACAACGTCTCCGATTTAATCAGGCGATTTTACCCCCTCATTGATGAGATTACGAAAATAAACAGTCATGTTTATGAATTTTCATGTTTATTTATTACTAAACCGACCTTAACTGACAGAAAAACACGACAAAATCGTTTCGCTTTGTTATCGTTCAATCGCTAGTTAAGAATACCATAAACGGCTAAATCCTTGACAAAAGTAAATGCTATTTAGATGAGATTGACTTGATTACGTCTATTAAG